CATATTAGGCCTATAATACTTCATACTTATTTCATAACAATCTGTATAACAGATACTTTATATATATCATATTTGTTTGTATTATTTTTGCATACTTCTTTTTCTCTCGATTTTTTCTAACAAGAGAGCCCTATCAGAATTTTCAAAAATAGAAGTAAAACATAAATGGTTTACTTGGAGATTCTTCAAAGCAATATCTTTCTGCTTTCTGGTCTCAGCCAGCTCTAGCTCCAAGACCTGGTCCTTCATGGCCTGGTCCAGGTACCTCTCCTCAAATGCCTTAGCCCTTCTCTCTGCAGACACTCTCCTCCTCTCTGATTCTTTCACCATAGAGCTGATCTTAGTGAGGAGGGCTGTGCTATCTCCATCAGCCCTAACTCCAAGCTGAGTTGCCAGGCTCTATCATCCAAAACAAAGCAAGAAGATTTAAAAAAAAAAAAAAAAAAATTCATTTTGAATTTTGGGTTTCTTATTTCGATCTCTGATATTTTGTATAAATATTATATAATACTTGTTTGTGTATAAAAGCATCAGACATACGACTCTAGTTTGACCTAATATGGTTTACAACTTTAAATAAACTCATTCTTATCTTAACTTGTTAAAAATTAATCAATTTTTAATTTATACCGCCCTAGAGTGGTTACAATTTGGCCCTTTGACACATTAAGTGTCCACAAATATCATAGTCATTAATATTGATATGAATTATATCTCATTTTATATTATTGTCACCATTAATATTACCAACATATTATGCGATATTCGTTTCACCATTGCCATAATGAAATTGTTGAGTTCATACTATCGATGATATTATTTCTAACGCAAAAATGAGAAATCCGAATTGATTGATTTCAACTATTATTAATTACTAGTTGAGTATTCGATAAAGACTCACAGCAATGCCTTGCTGAAGTTGTTCTTTCTCCAAGTTGTTCTGGAGGTACTTCAGAAGGAGCTTGCCCGACATAGCTGGCGTGGGTGAGATGGTAGACGGCAGAGAGAAGCTGGGGTCTTGGAAGGACCTACATAGCTCCTGTTTATATTAAGTTTGAGGCAAAAATGGGAACTTTTTTTTTTGTATCGGTGAACTGATGTCCATAACATTAGGCCACCTACAAAATTTCAGTGACTATGCATGATAAACGCAAAGTGTACTTTCTAAATGTGTTTTATATTTTCTTTTTCGTATTTTCTTCCAAAGAACTGTTTTTTTCTTCTTCATTTTTGTTAACATTTCTGCCTATATATTTTACGTTGGTTATCATTGTTGTTGATCGTTTGAAGTTTTTGTCGTATCAATCTGTATCTAGACCTATATTTCATTTTTCTTATTAGTTTATTTATTTAATTTCATGTTTTATTTTCTTGCTTACATCCTGGGGGGTAACCATCGGTGGTTTGATGGCTTCATGATAAGCTGACCCGATACAGGGTAAAGGTCTTCCAAGTATATAGGGGTGTGGGGAGCGGATTCGTCCGACGCAAAACATTTCCAGTGATATTATTTAGAAACTGTGATCTAAACGAAGGGGAGGGGGGGGGGGGGCGAAGGAGAAAAGGAGACGAAGTTGAAATGCATAAATAGCACATGAAAAGAAAAGGGGAGATACCGGTAATGTCATCACGTAAGCGGGTTTGGCAGACATCATGATGAAGATCATCGTTAACATGCGTGTTTATGATACGGGAATGGATGTGAACAACAACAAAAGTCAACGAAAAGTTCTTTTTGCTTCGATAAAATATAGAATATTGTTCCGTTTTTCTTCAAATTTGCTCTAAATAATCATAAATGTGTAAGAATTAGGTACTTACGTGGCGGATGGAAATAAGATCTTTTAAAAGAGTGACAAAATTGGCAAAAACTGTCAAAAATGTGGCAGAAAGTTCTCGAGATCGCAAAAGTGCAAGAGAATGTGATTTGTTTACATTTTTGTTACCAGGGCGCTAGGTAGGGCGTAAATACTTGCAACGCGCAGCGCATACATAAAGCGCATCATTATGCTTCCAGTTTAGTGGCCAGTATTGGCGTTAAACACCCTAACCACGCCCTGCCACGCCCTGTGGTAAGCGTAATGCGCAGAGGCCAGTGCCTTGTGATGATACTGTCATTCAAGTTGTCAATGTCAATGTAATGACGTCATCAGAGTTTCACATAACTGACTAATCGTGGAGCATGAACCTTGCTTTCTTTCAAAAATTATTGTTTGGTTACCAGTAAAAAAACATTTCGTTCCACTTTTACATTAAAATTTAATGATAAATTTGTTTTTTTTGTTAATACAAAAAGGGGATGAAACTAAGCAAAAAAGCATTGCTTATTTATCATTTTAAAAATTGAAATAAAGAAAATATCCCTTAACTAACCAATCAGGAAATGCCTACTATTTATGACGAGCGATAAAGCAAACTTTTTAACCAATCAGAAGTGATACTTTTCGGGTGGAGTGAGGGGTCTGGAATAGACCTACGCGGATTAGATTGATTTTGGATTCTACTTCTACGGTAATACTCATCAACGCCTGTTCAGCATCTAGATTATAGAATATCAAGCGCGTAGCCAGGATTTTTTTGTTCTTCTCTTTCTCTCTCTTTTTTTTTGGCCGGCGTTTTTTTTTTTTTTTTTTTTGGGGGGGGCGACCGCCCCCATCGCCCCCCCCGGCTACGCACCTGCTTGCACGTGTTTTATTTGTGTCAATCTTTTCCCATCAAGTGTAGGCTAGAGCTAAAAGCTGGACATATCTTTCTTTATATACATTTGTTGGATACTAAACCATAGATATCATGCTTATTAATAATAATGATAAACAGTTAAAATAGCATCAAAGGCCTTCAAATCAAAAGATAATGGACATTTTAATTAAACGCATATAGGTACATCGTAATAATCATCAAAGAATACCCTCACGATGAATTTCTCCAATTGGCTTTTCAAAGGCTTTTTTTGGCATTACAAAAAGGCAGGTTATTATAATGAAAACTATAACATCAATACAGTTATTATAATCACTAATAACATGTTTCATGACTAAGGTGTTTGTCCTCCAAAGAGAAGGAGGAGGACAAAGTGTGGAGAAAACGAGTTGGGAAGAAAATGAAATAGAGATGTAGAGAGAGAGAAAGAGAGAGAGAGAGAGAGAGAGAGAGAGAGAGAGAGAGAGAGAGAGAGAGAGAGAGAGAGAGAAAGGGGGGGGGGGGGGGGTTGACGAGAAAAGTGAGACATACGGCACATGCACAAAGAAAGAAAGAGATAGCATGAATAATACATCTTGTAATGTATTCCCCGCAGATGGCGGTCTTTAGGGTTCGGGTCATGGCTCTGTTTTGGGAGGAGTCTATGCACACATTTTTGGAACAGCTCATTCATGACTGGCATGCACTAAAATTTAAAATGATTTGATTCATTTTATTCTTGTGCGACATGTATCAAGTATTTACAATTAAGGAGATTTTAAACCGAGAAAAAAAAAACTCGAGAGAATAACATATGATGGTCGACCCATATATAACAATTTTAAGATTTTGTCATATTCTGAAACAACATACATATTTTTTCCATATTCCATTTTCAAAAATCAGCATAAACAAATTAAGAGAAAGCCTTAAAATTAGCGGTTTTGTTAATTAGAGCAAACTTTTCATGTGTGACCTTGAACAAAGAATCTAAGACAATTTATTTATTTTTATGTCAATTAAGTTAATTACTTTTGTTGTTCATTGTACAAATACAAACATTTTAATGAAAATATTAATTGTTGAAAGTATGAGAGAAATTCATAATAAAACAATTCAATTTAACTTTGAAAAAACATTTATCGCTTATATTGTATTTTTATAACTTGTATTGTGTATCAGAAAAATTGGAAAATGTGAGCTTATGTTTCTTTTTGTTTGTCTAGGGATCAGTTTTTTGATTGATCATCCGAATTCCAAATAGGATAACTCAAGAGTGGGATGTCTGATTCTGTTAAAACCTTGCATGTTTATTGATTAAATGTGTTTCTAGGAGGTGATCTATTTAGAATTCCACTGAATGTTTTAATTTTATTGTAATAATGTCATGAATAGATGATTTTTGTTGATAGTTCACGCCCTAGAGATGTATTAAAGGGACTTGGTAACATTGTAAAGATGAGAGAAAATGGTACTAAGGTAGTGAATTTAAGATGTAGTTATAAGATCCTGGTATACTCTACATGGGTTTTGGTGTTTTTTTTTTGATAATCAATTTTTTTTCTCTTATTTTTTCCATTTTATCTATTATGCATTTGTTGTTACATTTAATTTGGGGGATATTTTTAAGGGAGTAAGGTAAAGAAAGAGAGAGAGAGAGAGAGAGAGAGAGAGAGAGAGAGCGAGAGACTGGAATGGAATGGGTACATAATAGCAATTCTCAGTCAAAATTAAAGTGGATCCCTAAATTTCAAAATTGATGATAAGGATTTGGCTTACACAATCGAAAGTAAACACAGCCTCTTGAAATTTCATTTTGGAATCTTAGCTTGCTTTTTCAAGAAATGTATACAATTTAATTGATGGTGCTAATACCTGTTTGCGATTATTAAATAGGCCAATCTCATTTATGACATTGTATCTAAACCTACAGTTTTTAAAATATTTTTTTTATACACTTTGAGATCTTTTTAAAAAAAACCTAAAAATCTAGGTTTTTCTGTCCGGACAAAAGACCCAACCCTAATAAAATGGCGAACTGCAATCAATAAAGACAGAATGAGACTGTATACAGTCTAATTCTGTAGGCTCACACTATCAATTATTCAAACCAGAAAGTCCCTCTCTTTTCACCCTTTCCCCGTTCTTTCTTCTTTCTCACTTTTATCAAATTTCTACTACAGTTTTCATTCGTACCCGCTTCATTTTTCCTCACCTGTCAAAATCGTAGATGAAGGCAGACGACAAAATATGTATTCACCTGTGTCTGTGTGTATATTTGTATCCACTCTGTGTACACAAAAACATTTGATATCGATATCTTTCACGTTATCGTTCATCCACTCATCAACCTGTGCATCCAGGCAGTCAGCGGTGCGTGACATCATCTATTCTCATCACCAAGATTTTATTTGCTAGAGCACATCTGAGGATTTCATAGACCATCCCTGCAGACCAAGTATTCACCTTTACAGTTGAATCACCGAGAAAAGACACATTTAAAGGAGCTGATCTAATGTTAGCTAGCCAAAGTGTTTCCCTCGCACTCTGTACTTCACGACGCATGACGGAAGAGATTCGCCCCGCAAGCTCCCCGCACGGAAGCGGGTCGTTGGTGGATGGCTCAGGCGATTCGCCACCAGCGATGTTGGTAAGAACGCTCATTATTCATGTTGATTTATTCATTTTATTTGGGTGCTTATATAATTTATAGTATTCCATGGTGGGAGGGTCTCAGTGGGTATGGATTTAGATTATTCTTAGTAATATGCTGAAAATGCTGATGTTGGATAGACCAGGTCAGCATCTCATTCTCAATTTACTTTACACAGAAGATGCCTAAAATTGTGGACCATAATCTTCTAAAAGATATTCCCATGATAAATAACTATTCTTGTTGATATGCCCCCACATAAAATAAATAAGAAAGCAGATTGGATGATATTCAGCAATCAAAATGAGTTGGGGGTATGTGGGGTGGTGGTGTAGGTGTAGGGGGGCGGGCAGATGTAGGCCTATATATGCACACCTGTATATATATATAGGGTTCAGTGTTGGTATTGAGCTAAAGTCTGAGAGGTGTCAGGAATCAGGATATTTTGTGTTGAATACATGTTAAAACAGTATCATGGAAAAGGGGAAATCATGTATTAATTGCAACAATTGAAGTATTGTATATTTTGGATTCATTGGGAAGAATAAAGAAAGATAAAGATACAAAATTATAGATATCGATGTAATATACAGATAGGCCCTATATATGTCTTATTGTAATAACTGGTGTGATGGAGGAGGTCAGAACATAAAATATCGGGGGGGGGGGGGGGGACTAAAAAGAAGTAAAATGGAAAGTAGAATTGAATGAGTAAGAGAGAGTGAGGGAGTGGAGACAGAGAGAAAGAGAGAGTGGCAGGTATGGAGAGGGGTGGGGGTGATAGGGAATTAGGAACAGATTGATAGAGGGGGAAAACAGGTGAAAGTGGATTGTGAAGATGGATAGATAGAAAGAAACAATGCAAGAAAGAATGAACACAGAATCATTTAGTATGGCCATATTCACAGAAAGGGTTTGACATCTAGGTACATGTAGTATTACCTTTTTTTTTTAAAAGTGTGTTCACACAGTTTTTATAATGTGACTTTGTGAAACAGTGTGGTTGGAGAGAATAACAGTATAGTTTTTATAATCCTGCAATACGTTTTGAGCACTTTTGTTGTCATATCAAGATATGAACAGATTGTGTTCACACTGCCACATACACCTGTAGAGTGATGATTACAGCATGACTGTAGAGGGAAAAAAGGGTGTATTATACAAAATAGTGTGAACACACTGTGTTTGCACAGTTTGGCACAATGTGACATCTACATTGTATGACCATATAGAGAATTGGGTGTGTTCAGGAGTATAGACACATTGTTCACACTAGGACAAACTATTGCCATAGAGATAATATAGTTCATAAACATAGTATGTACATACCCACTGTGCCAGTCTTTCACATTAGTGACAAATTATGAATACAATGTCTGTAACACAGTTTCAATACCAGTACACTCTCCACACTGTGTAATGTCCATAGACACTTACGAACACACTTATGAACACACTGTGGTTACTGTGTATTTCACAGTTCGAAAATAAAACTAAGACCAAAGAGAGGATACAGTGTATATAATAAAGTATGAACACATCATGTTCACTTTTTGTACCACAGTGTAAACATGATGTGTCCACACTGTGATACAGTGTGACTCACCATCACCATTGACAAGGTAATGTGTACAAAACACAGTATAAACACAGTGCAAAAAATGACTATGAACACACTGTGATTATTGTGTAATTCACAGTTTGAAAATAATACCAAAGAGGATACGGTGTATAAAATAAAGTATGAACACCATGTTCATTTTTTGTGCCACAGTGTAAACATGATGTGTCCACACTGTGATACAGTGTGACTCACCTTCACCATTGACAAAGTACTGTGTATAAAGCACAGTATGAACACAGTGCATTAAAATGACCACATAAAGAATGTGGTGTATCAAACACAGTGAGCACATTTTGTTATACACAACTTTCCAACTTTGATTCACTCTATCTTTGTGTGAGTGAATTGGCAAGAGGCCAGAAATAGTGGAATACAGAGAGGGGATGAAGGATGGAGATATGAGATGGAAAAAATGTGAAATATAAATAGAGAGGGGAGGGAGAGACAGAGAGAAAGTCAAGGGGGAGCAATGAACAGAAAGATAGAGTAGTAGATTTTGAATTTATGCTTTGACGATACTGAAGATCTCTTATGAATCTCGAGAGGGGAAATGACGAAAGTACTGCATTCATCAGTCCTGCTATTTTCAGTGTGGCAAATTGCAAAATCTGTTCAGCTAATCACTGATGCATTAGTAATGCTTTGTTATCCAAATCTGATGATCCATTCGATGCATGCTCTTTTCTTAAGAATCCACCTGACTGTTGAATAAACAATGACTTTCTTGCAATTGGGAAATGCATGTTGTAATTAATAATTAACCCTCTCAATCCAATAACCTGCCTCTGGATGTATACCTAATCTTCAAGATCTCATCATATATATATTTTCAGAGTTCGCCAGCTGATGAGGAAAACGGTGAGCTCCTCCAGTCTTCCAGCTTCGGTGGAGAAGGATCCAGCAAACACAGTACCCTGAGTAACAAGGACAATGTGTCCACCCATCATGTTCAACTAGGCCGGCCTCAGGCACATCCCTACCCCCACCCAGGCTCCCCACTCTCAGACGAGGAAAGCCCCTTGTTGGAGGCAAAGCGCTCTACCACCTCTAGTCGAGCAGGCAGTCGTGCTGGTAGCTCATCGGCTAAAGGCACCTTGGCTTCTCAGAAGGGAAGAGTACACAGGCGCTCCCTGTCCATGATTGTGCAGCCAGGCAGTGTCAGAAGGCATCTCAATATTGTAGAGAATGAGTATGATGTAGAGACAGCAATGAGTGTTCCAGCCACCCCAGTTCCTCAGGTGAGTTGATTATGGCAAGAATCACTGAAAAGAAGTAAAATTAAGAGAGTTGTGAAATGTAGAAGTATTTTAATATTTTACACTTTACGCCCCTGCGAGTGTAAACTAAAATGTTAATCTTGCACAGAGAGGAAAGTAATTAGGGAACCGAAGTACAAAAAAACACACGGTTTAAATACAGTTGTTAACTCATATATATTTGCAGTTCCCATTTTACTTTAAGTGCATAGTATTTGTAATGTTGATGCAGAGCAAGCTTTAGAGATGACTTATTAGTTGATGTTGTTTTTGTTGATGAAATATAAGAAAAAATAGTGCTTTTTCATATTTAGGTATATTATTTTTTCTACTATTCTACAAATATTCATTTAGTTGACAAAAATAAATGAAAAGAATGAGAGAGAGAGAGAGAGAGAGAGAGAGAGAGAGAGAGAGGGGGAAAATGCAATTTCATCTCTTAGCTTTTATTGTAAATATATATTTTAGTTTACCAATACATGTGAAGTACAAGCTTGTATATATATAACAAGTGGCTTTGCTCACATGGCACAGAATTTCTCTCAGAACTGATCCTTTCTACAATCAAATACCATAGCAATCATACAAGTGATACTACCAATCCACTCATCCCCCTTCCATAAGTCTTCCATGCCTCAATAAATTCTTCCCATTATTTATGATCAGCAAACCAGCCTATGCACTCCTGAAGCCGGCACATGTATGACTCATTTTCATTAGATATGAATATTAACTACCACTGGCCCGGTCGGCTGGGGTAGAGAAAGCCTAATCCCATATGTAGGGGCTGACCGGTAGGCATCTTTAGATAATCCACTGAAGCGGAGACAATCAACTTAGACTGCTCGGATAGTGAGGGGGAGAAGGGAGAGGGGGTATACAGCCATTTTGTTTCAGAGCCTGTAGGTTAATGACTGGTCGGAAAGGTGAATAGACCATGAGATGTAAACAGTTTTAATCGGGTTTACACCATATAAATTGAATTCTGACACAGTTGGTGTGTGCTGTAATTAACAGCGGATGCAATTCTCAATCTAATTAATGTGATTGTAGTACTGATGATGCCCTGTGTCTTCATTTTAATTACGAGCTTGAATGCCGCAATCATCTGTATTGTATGTGTAGCTGGAGAGTAGTCATTTATATTGCATGTTAATTACAGATATAGATTGTTTGTTGTATTCTACATAACAGGAATTTGAAACAGAGAATTTTCCGTCAGAGCACATTCTATGGAGGTTAATGTGTAGCATAAAGCCATTTCCTACTTTCATAACATAGACCTCCCCCCCCCCCCCCCCAAAAAAAAAAAAAAAGAAAGAAAGAAAGATGATAGAGAAAAATAAAACAACTAGGGCATACATCTTGGATCAAGAAAAAATGCCCATTTTCTACTTTCACATCATAGACCCCCTCCCTCCCCCTCCCCCAAAAAAGGATAGAGAAAAAGAAAAACCAAAAAACTGGGGCATAGATTTTGGATCAGGAAAAAATGCACAGTTTAGGCACTTTTATAGTTTTTAGACTATTTTATAGCATGTTCAGTATAAAATGAAGATTCCTTGCTAATACCTGAAAAGAGACAATTATCCCTATATTCCCTGAGCAAATTTGATATATTTATTCTATAATTATCTTACCCAAACCCCAGCATTTATTGATGACAGGAAAATCCAATTTTCAGTGAAGTGTATATTGGTTTATCAAGATTATGTTGACTTAATCCTCAAATCCAGTTCAAATTGGAATGTAGCCAATTCTCAAAGTGAATAACGTGAAATTAAAAAAAATGAAAAAATGTGCACATCTCAGAGAACCTCTTTGTGACTGCACTTTTGCAGTAATTCAAAATTGATTAAGTACCCCCTGCAGTGATCACTGATTACTTTGTACGGGTAATTATTTTGTTCTGATGATGATTATTTGCAATCTACTGTAGATGTAAAACTACTGTTTTTAGCAACATACGTATACATGTAGGTTTGAAGTTGTTTCATAAAGATCAGTGTTCAGAAAGAAAGATGCTGTTAGCAGTAGTACATTTGAGATGTTTCATGTTATTCTGAAAAAAATTTGGGAGGGGGGGGGTTGAAAATATCCATAAGGTGTATGTTGTTTTGTTGAAATTTTCATGGGGGAGGTGGGGAAGGAGGATTTGGGTGTACACATGTCAAGAAGACTAGTTCTAAGAACAAGTAGAAACCATCCAACAGCGCTCTTCCCTTTTCCTCAGCTTTATTAATGAAGCATACATGTCTAGATCACATCTTTAAAATGGGTTTGCAGTGTGCACCCGACCTACACTCAGTGTATGTTTGGTTTTCGTTATTACGTACGCCATGCCTAAAATGATCCAAGTAAGGTCTTTGATGGAACTTTAATCCATCCCTTGTGGTCTGGGAAGAAGATTGCTCTCCACCTGCTCCTCTGCTTCTTGACGTACAGCTCTCATCTCTGTATACCCTCATCAGTATGCTGTCAAAAATGGAAGACAAAAAGATGAATATTTCATTGAATCCATCGCATGAACACCCTGGATACTGGTAATTGAAACAACAGCTTGTTGAAGAAGACCCTTGTGGTGTAATGCCATCTACCAGAGATGTAAACCTATATGTAGTCCCACTGTACAGAAACAGTGTAAGCTGAACCGTATATAGTATTGCATTTATTAGCTCGCTCATCTTCATAAGCGAAGAAACATGGTGAATAATTGGTGTACCATGCGGAAGATTGCCTGGTTCCATGATTAAATCCACAAAGTTGGTTGCGGCTCATAAGTCATAGCCGGGCTTTACTGCTGGAGTCCTGGAAATCAAGATAATTTTTTTCTTCTCCAGCTCGAGTCTGACTGTACACTTCAAATTTGCCAACATTTGATAGATTAGTTTTTCCTGACGAATGCCTGTTGTACATGGTGTGCATTAGGGTGACTCATGAATTCTTAATTGAAGATTGTCTTTGTGAATCAAATTTACTGTCATGCCGACTGTTGACCACCACATATCTTTGAATAATTGCTTAAAGTGAATTTGTTATTTGCAAAATGGTATGTTGGCCAGGACCTCAAAGCTTTAATTGACTTGAGGGGGGGGGGGGGGGGGGTAGTGAAAGAGAGAGAGAGAGAGAGAGAGAGAGAGAGAGAGAGAGAGAGAAAATAGAGGGGAGTGATGTGAGCTTTCTGTCATTTGAAAATAATGAGACTAAGAGTATTTGAAAATTTATATTACACATATATGCAAATTTGCTTTGAAATAGAAATATGAAATATTATTACTCTGATATTTTGATTGTGATCATTGTGATACCACAAAGATAAGTTTGGGCCTCATTCCATCTCTTGACATTCAAGATATGAAGCTTCCATATCTGAATTCTGAATATCTAAGAATTCCAAATCCTTTGTCACTTTTTTTTCCCCACACAAAACTCTACCCAGATCAAATTTGTGTATTTCAACTCACAGGTACAGAGCTTCAATTGAATCTAGGCATTGACAATCGTACAGGCCATGAAACAAAGTATGTCAGCAAACAAGCTACTTGATCGACTACTCTGTACCTCGTCGGCAAACACCAAATGTGATTTCATATGGCTGTATATTTATGTAACCTACATGAACAATCTATTCCTAGATGTAAGGAGAGAGGGAGGGCATCTAGGCGGTATCTACTGAGCCACCAAGCTAATATTACTGGTTTCTAGCTCTAAGCTATGCTTGTGGAAACAAGAGAATGAGACAGAGAGAGAGTGAGAAAGAGAAAGAGAGGGGGAGAGAGAGAGAGATGCGGGAGAGAGGTGGGAGGAGAGAGAGAAAGACAGACAGAGAAAGAGAGAGAGAGATATAGGGAGAGACAGAGAGAGACAAAGAGAGAAGGGGGGTGAAAAAAAAAGAGAGAATGTGGTTTCAGTTATGATGGAGATCCATGGAGATAGTAGAGATATGGACTCTGAATGAAAAATAAAAGCTAGTGAAATGAGTGTAAAAACCTAAAGGTATAAACAAAAAAATGATATAAAATCAATGAATTTTGACTTTCCTTTAATTTAGATGGAGATGGAATGCAAAATTTATTTACACAGAGATATAGAGATGGACAGACCAACTTATACAGGAAGATAAGATGTTTCCCATGAATACGACAGACCTACTGGGTTTCTTTTATATTTTCTTCCTTCCATGTCTTCTCCATCCTCTCTTATTTTCCTCTCTCTAAACTATCAATCTGATAAATTCAGTTGGCGGCAAGCTACTGTAGTAAGCCGGCATATAAGGCGAAAACAATGTATGTTGCCTGTGGGCATTTCTGGTCACTCACGATCCAATATAATTGCACTACACACCGCATAATGAGCATAATATTTTGTCACGTGACCTGCAGCGCGTGCACAGTCTCCCATAGGCTTAAATTGTACTTGGATAAGTGGATTCTAGTGTGTACACTCCGCTCTTACTCAAGGAAGAGGGACCATGTTGCTATGGCAATGAAATTAATGAGGTTATTGATTACCTGGCCGAAGACCTATAGTCATCCGAGAAAATAGACATGCAGCTCTACTGTGGATGCTCAATGAGGCATAAAGAGTTATAAATTCATCATCATTTATGCTTGGTTGATCAGAGCAATATGATCTCTATTCTTACAGGCTTAGGGGTAATGATTACGGGATTACAAGCCAAGCCAGGATTTTCAATTTCAGTTAATTTGGCAATTTAGATGCCATTAGTATCTCACCATATCTTTTGGATAGATTTTATAATCATAACAGTAAAATAGTAATTATGATGATCGTAATAATAATAATACTATCAATCCTCTTCATCTGGGCAACTTATTTCTATAAGATGCTGGATTTATATATTAATGATAGTAATGATATTGATAATGACGCTCTTTATCTGGGTAACTTCTTTCTAGAAGAGGTTGGATTTACTACATGATTGCAGTCTGGAATGAAGTTGAGATGATATTTTAAAGGTA